GGGGAAAATCCAACATTAGAAATTACGTTTGCTCCAGACATTTCCCCCCTATAAATAAATATCCGGGCAACGCCAGGTTATCAGCTAGTAAATTTAATAATAATTAATAGTAATAATCAGTCACCAGGGTGGATTTGGGGCAAATCTTCCAGGTCTCTAGGAAGATTTTTTTTTTTTTAGGAATAAGCATCAAGAATGATTTATTTGGCTGATCAGTCATCAAAAATCAAACCTGACTCAAGAACCCCTAAAGGGCTTAATTTTCCCTGCCTTAGGAATAAAAGATGGCTGGATAATTTGGGGCCAGCCTCTCTCCCTCCCACTCTCCTCTTCTTCCCCCCAAATTCTCCCTCTCCCCATATCACCTCCTAACTTTATTGTTGTGGGCAAAATAGAATATGACTCATTTTGTATTCCTCTTGAGCTATGGGAAATAGGAACCAGATATATTTCATCTGACTTTAGGCTTGTTTAAAATCCTTGACTCTCATCCAGATATTAATGAACTCTGACCCCACTCTTTAGGTCAACCACAATTGGTTAGATATGCCACCAATCTGGGGGTGCTTTTCAATTTCTTTGGGATGTGCCATTCGAGAACCAGCTAGGCCAGACCCTGCTTAGCTTTCAAGTTCCAGTAAGATTGGCCAAGTGCCGTTACCTGTGGACACAGGTATATCCTGTGATAACAAGGTGTGAAAGGAGGGGTGTTTTCTCTCAAACCTGCCAGCAAAAGCCAACTCTCTGATTACCTTTTTGCTCTCACTGCAGTGGTGGGATTCAGCCAGTTCGCACCTATCTGGGAGAACCGGTTGTTAACTTTCTAAGCAGTTTCAGAGAACCAGTTGTTGGAAGAAATCTTATTTTGTTTTTTTCCCCCCACTTTACAAAGCTAATCCTGTAAGGAAGGCAGGAAGGAAACATTCTGGTGTTCTTTCTAGCCTCATCTTTATTGTCCCCACTTACAGAAACTGCTTTTCCAGTTAACCCTATTACATTTTAACAGCTAAGACGAAGCGCCCATCAAGGTGAGTGACGTTGAGTTGGCCACAACCACCCAGTCACATGACCACCAAGCCATGCCTACCCAGCTGGTCATTAGGGCAGAGAACTGGCTGTTAAATTATTTGAATCCCACCACTGTCTCACTGCCACCTTATTTTGTTCATTGTTTCAGTCCGAATGTATTCCATTTGTTCATTAATTAAGAGCCGAGGTGGCGCAGTGTTTAAATGCAGCACTGCAGGCTACTTCAGCTGACTGCAGTTCTGCAGTTCGGCTGTTTAAATCTCACCGGCTCAGGGTTGACTCAGCCTTCCATCC